AATTCTGAAGGTTGATGGACATTAATGATGGGGAAAGGCATTTTCTTAGTTTATATATCTAATATATGACATTCACGCAAGACAGGCAAATGTACTTACTGCATCAGACAGGTTTATTCAATTTAGATGTATTAGATGTATTTAATGGCTGCCATCCGGCGATAAAATTCACACTCGAAATGGAGAACGAGTCTAGCATTCATTTCCTCGATGTGAACTTATCAAGAAGGACCGATGGAACTCTGAAAAGATCGATTTATCTTAAGCTGTCATGAAATGGTCAACTGACAAATTTCTACAGCTGGCTACCCATTGGTCAAAAACGAAACCTGGTCCTGTCGCTTTCCACTCGCATTCGGCGAATATGTAGCCCTGATACTGTGGAAGATCAGTTATATCTTTTGAGGAAAATCCTAATAGAAAATGGATTTCCACCACGTTTTATAGACAAGAATGTACATTCAAATCCGATGAAACGTGACTTATCCTCCGTACCGAAGAAAATACTTTACATGAGCTTGGAATTCAAAGGGGACTCTTAGCTGCTGATATTATGAAACGAAGGATATCACAGTCCCTGAAATTAACATTCCCTGCTGCATCTCTGAGAATAAATAGCCTTCACTAGTCGACCATTACTGTTCAGTAACCTGAAGGACAAGATCCCGCTGTTGACCAACTCTATGCGTGTTTGTCAATTCACCTGCTCATGTGGAGCTAGGTATATCGGTCGTTCGACTCGAGTTTTCTCCAAGAGGGTGCAAGAACACTATCCTGCATGTTAGTTACGAACAGGTGGAAGTGGAGCAATAAGAAGCGCGATCATTGAACATCTCCTTGCGATAATGATCACCCAATTATCTCTATAGCCTCCGCCTTTAAAGTCATCTACAAGGCGAAGAGTAATTTACCCAAATCACTACGTACCCGACTCATCTGTTGTATTGCTGAAGCCATCTTTGTCTATCGAAACAGAAAAGCCAGATCTCTGTGTACAGAAAAAGTTCGTTCAACTCCTCCCCTCCAACTTTCATGGTCTTAATCCTCTATATGCTAAAGTATGGTAATCCCCAATCATATTTTGGCTCTACCAAATTTTTCATTTTTTTCATTTTGTCTATTCAATTTGTATTCTCTTCCTTTATTACAATGTCAATTGTTACTACTATTATTATTCTCACTTTGAACTGTACCCGGTATCATTTCACTTGTTCCACTTGTCATTCTAAATCAATTCTTCTTTTTTACAACATTGAATTCTATACTATTAAATTTCCCACAATATTACGTAACGTTTTCATTTTATTCGATTTGTCTACTAATCTTATAATTGCACACCCATTCCAAGTTCTATCCATCCTATGTGACATTAATTCGCTCTGCCACTTGACATTTACCTATGATTATAATCACAAACATTTTAGTTTTAATTGCATTTCATACTACTATTATTATTATTATTTTATGCATTCACACCTATGATTCAATTCCCTCACCGGATATAACTTCTTAAAAACCAAATATATACGATTGTACAACTTGATGATAAATTCGTTGTTGAAAAGAGTCTCTTCGTTGACAGAATCACCCCTTGTTTTGATTTTCTAAATGTTACAATGGAAATTTTCCATGATTTATTCAATTTAACATACAGTTGTACGGTATTCCTGACTAGATGACATTCCAAGCAGAATTCATTACTCATAAGCATACCAGTGAATTTATAATGCTGACTACATTATTGTTAAAGGTCTAGAAGCGGGGAAAGGTGCCTACTGACTGGAGGAAAAGTTACCTCGTGAAACTACCAAAGAAGGGCGACACAGGCCTCACTCTGCAAGAACTGGCGAGGAATCATGCTCCTGTCGATGCCAAGTAAAACTCTGAGTCGCATCATCCTGGAGAGAATAAAGGACGCACTGGATACAGAACTCCGCCCACCGGAACAAGCTGGATTCAGGAAAGGCCAATCATGTTCTGACCAAATTGCAACTCTGCGCATCATCATCACAGAAGGAAGCATGGAATGGTGCAATCAAACCTCTACCTCAACTTTATAGACTTTGAGAAGGCCTTCGAAGACAGCGTTGACCGCGAAGTAAATTGGAAACCACTCGAGTACGACGGCTCACCCCAAATATTCATCAATCTTATTCAAAAGCTGTACGACAACGGCACATGTCAAGTGATCCACAACGGAAAACTCAGTGAGGCGTTTGGAGTAAACACAGGAGTCAGACAAGGATGCTTATTATCACCAATGATATTCCTAATTGTGGTGGACTGGATTATGCTTCGTCAGACAGTGGGAAACGAGAAGACAGGCATATCCTGGACCGAAGTGAAGAACCTAGAAGACCTGGATTTCGCGCGTGGATGATTTATGTTTGATGTCACACAAAATCGTAGACTTACAAGCGAAAACCGACAAACTGGTCGAAGAAGCAGCCAGAGAAGACAGGACTCCAGGTGAACATAGACAAGACGGAGGTTATGAAAATAACCAACCAACAACAACAACAGCAGCAGCAACATTCAGCGCCAATCACCATCAACGGGAGGGATTTGAAAGAGGTTACTTCATTCACTTATCCAGCTAGGGAGCATTGTCTCAACTACAGGAGGAACGGACGAGGATGTCAAATCGAGAATCGGGAAGGCGAGAAACACATTCATCAACCTGAAACCAATCTGGAAATCTTCGTCACTCAGCAACACTCAACAACAAAATTCGGATTTTCAATACAAACGTCAAGTCAGTTTTGCTATACGGATGAGAAACTTGGCGGGTCACAAAGAATATTTTCATCAGGTTGCAGACCTTTATCAACAACTGTCTTCGCTCTATACTGAAGATCAAATGGCCAGAAAGAATCACCAACAATAGGCTATGGGAATAAACAAAACAAGAACCGATCGCTCAACAAATATGCAGGAGAAAGTGGAGATGGATTGGACACTCACTGAGGAAGCCTCTGGGTGACATGGAGGAGATTGTGTGAAGAGGAGTTGAAACAGTATGGACTAACATGGATGCAGGTGAAAAGTACAGCAGAAGACAGAAGCAAGTGGAGGCGTTGCAGTTGAACAATAGTAATAATAATATAATTTGCTTCAAAAATATTTTTCTGCCCTCATTCCTCCCTGCCCCGGTTAATTTTTCAATTCAAAAGCCAATAGGATTCCAATTATTAATACTAAGTTTTTATGTGTGTAGAACTTAGAGGTATGTTTATAGTGAACGTGTGTGTGTGTGTGATTGTGGCAAATATCTCCATCATAACCTAGAAGTAGGACTACACTTTCGAAGAGCTTTACCTTCCCAGCTATCCATAAATACTTCACATGTGACTATTGGGGATACTGATGATCCCAAGTCCACTCCATTTGTTTAATTGCATGGAGAATTGCATCATGAGCTGACATCAGTTAGAGAGAACCACTGGGAAACCCACCTGGGAGTACTGGACAGCCAGCCAGCTGTTTCATCAGCCTAGTTTAGGACTCTTCATGAGTACGCACCCACCCCACCGCTGCGGTTCGAACCCAGGACCACGTTCTGGTTACAAGGCCAGCGAGCGAGCGAGCTCTTAGACGATTGAGCCACTGAGATCCGATCCAATGGCCAGCCAGTGCCAATTCACGCACTATATAGCACGACCATTTGTTTACTTAAAATTTGAATACACCTGGGTTGGGGTGGGGGGATGTGTCAGATACATCCATACATACATAAAAATTTAACCACACAGCTAGAATTATTGACTCTGCTAAGTTGAATAAACTAGATAAAAGCTTGCCCATTGCATTGCATGCATGTAGGTGGGACAGGGTGCGAGAGTATTAAAAAGTAATATAGTTTTAGGCAGGGAGATAGAGACACAGAGAGAGGGGGGAGGTGGCACAGTGGTTAGGACTCTCGGCGACCATGCACATGGTCCGGGGTTCGATCCCCTGCCGGCGCACACCCGATATCTATGGTCGGCCTGCAAAATTTGGGCTACTGATATCCATGCTGAAAATGCCATACTTGTACTGAAAATACGGTGTGGCATCAAGCTGTAATCAAAAATAAATAAATAAAAATAAATAACCAAATAATCCTTGTCCGTGGAATCAACACCGAACACATGCGCAATGGATATGACCTAGCGCTTACACTGGAGATATGGAAAAACTGTAATCAATAATAAGGAGAGGGATAAAAATCTCGAATTTACACGAACACATTTATATGATTATTAGGTAAAAATTGTGCTGCAAAAAGTAATCATTAGTTATCACTAGTGAACCGCGTGTGTGCTGAATATACGCCATACAATTAGGCATGTATCTCTTAGAATTTTGCCAACATCATCCACCCTACACAGTGGTTGGTTGGTTGGTTAAGTAATGGACAAACAAAATCTATTCGCAGCGCCATACTCTATCTCACTCATCTTCTTGTGGATACACAACACAAGACTGATTGATGTTAACAAGGTGGCGGCTTTCAGTATCATTTACCTCATACCAACTAACAAATCTCAATTTCGCCTTAACAGTTCGACTACTAAATATTGCTGAGGCTGGCTGGCTGGCTGGCCGTGTTGGGATCCAGATTAACAAGCCTAATTTGTGCATCCAAAAGAAGAAGTTGGTTGGTTGGTTCAGACATTATCCTTACCCGCTTGACCATCTAGGTTTGAATGATCGATCCTGAATTTTTGTGGAATTTCCCTAATTTTAGTTGATATTCTATTCGTTATTATATCTTTATTATTATTATTATTATAATTTAAGCATCTTTAATGAACTGTGGTGATTCCATTGTGATCTTACTTTACAAATCGATATTACTATTTAAAACACAACACACTAATATTGTTATTGACTACTAATCTAGAATATTCTATGTATATAAACATGCATATATATAGATATAATTGTAGAGCGAGAAGAGGAGGAATTTATCGAAAAGGATATTCTTTGCTGGCTCAATCATTTTATGTTTAAATTAGAGCCCCTCTAATCCTACACAACTGCAGACACACTTTCTTCCTGTGTCATATCGCAGTGATACAAATGCATGCTTTAGTTTAGAATCCAAAAGAGATTATCCACAAGCAGTAAATTGTCCAACTGACGACAAAGCCTGTATAAAATGTGCTTCGTAGAAATCCGCTCAGGCCAGTTATACATTAGTAACCCCCCCGCCTAGTTAACATTTAGAAGTAAATTAAAAGTAAAATTAGGTTTCTTTCTTTAAAATAAAACGCTTTTACAAATGATTACCATATTACTGACAAAACAGTAGGGAGGGATATAAAACAAATGAGAAAAAAATAAATAAATATTATTAATAATAATACTTTTGTTAATACTAATTACACTTTCCTTAACTGATATCAAGGTTTCAATGTTACCTTCGTTGAAGTGTACACTATATATCCAATTTCACCCACAACGGTTATTACTCTATACATAGATCTGTGCATTCGTTTAAAAAGACAATTAATCACCGTCATTAATAATCAATAAGCGCGGAAACTAGATACTAGTCACTAGTGTTGTCATAGTAATCATTTTAATGAAATGTGATTGGTTAGTTAGCTTGTTTGTTTGTTTATTGTTCTTACTGTACATGACTCATAAATTGAATGTTTTCTAATGGATATTATTATATATATATAAAAACTGATCTGTTCATTGTCCCCCTGAAAGGATTGTCTCTTTATTCATATCAGTTATGCCACGTTGTTTTGGTTGTTGTTGTTGTGGTGATTGTTGTTGTTGTTGTAGATGATGTTTCATTTCCGTCACACAAAATGTACACACCGATCGATACTTTTTATTTTGTTCATATAATCGTTGATTCTCTTGATGGTAATTACCATCAATCATCATGTTATTATTGTCAGCACCAACATCAGAAGGATAAGTAAGTATCTGCCGTTGATGCCGTAAACATGGCTGATCAGCTGGATTTGAACCAGTCACTAGAATGGCATGTAAATGTGATATATACGATGAGGCTAATCGAAGTGTTTCAATTTTCGATAGTTTTCTATTGATTGGTTCTGTTGGAATTAAACTGCGCAACATTAGGAAAGCATCATTGACACTGGCCGTGCGTGTACGTTCACGTTCATTGGCAACACGTTTTATAGGCGGTGGTGGTGGTGGTGGTGAGGATCTCGATACTGATACTGATACTGTGGAATGTTCATTTTCATCCGGCGGAAGTGTTCGATGATGTGGATTTAAGGTATCACTGGTGGTACCGCTTGTTTGATGATTGAAACTTGCCAAATAATCCGGATCACTCCAATTACGTTTACGGTAATTATGATTAATACTGGACATCTCCATAATAGTAAATAATAATAATAAATAATAATGAAATGAGAATAAATATTTATCCTTTTCTGAGCTGTCTTTCAATGCCAAAATGCCAAAATTCCCTCAAATCCATCGAAAATGACACTAAACATGTTTAAATCCTTCAATGCCGCAGAAAAAGAAACACACACAGAAAAACAGCACGGAAACCAATCTACATACTGTGATGGATAGACGGACACAAAGGTAATAATGCTACAAGCTAACAAGCACACACACACACTAGCACATGTTGTATCTAGCACAAACACAGGCACACATAGAAACACAAAGCTCTCTTTCTAATTGGTTGAACTGTGTTTCTGTGCTGCTGGCGGCGCAGTTTTGGGACTTTTCCACATATATACTGACCAATCAACCAACCAACTAACTATCTCCGCCCCCTGTGTTATGTTTGACACAAAATGTGCATGTGCGTGTGCGTGTGCGAAAGGGGTGTAAATAATCTAAATTCCCTTGGTCATGCAATGTGCGAGATGAATTCTGAATGTTTTTCTTTAATAATAATATTGTAGGATTAACAATCTAATTAATTACCTGGTTCCTTTCACATTCTTAAATTTGCACCGATACTAATCGATAATAATAATAAAGTGTGTGTGCTAGTCTTTAGGCTGAATAAAAATAAAAAACAATAATGTTGGTGGGTTTTCTTTTCTACCAGTTTAACTGCACTCCTGTGTGGAGTGAGTGAGCCAGTTAGTTACTTGCATAGGCCGTACACAATTAGGCGTGTTTCTCGTCGAATTTTGCGAACATCATCCAGCCTGCACAGTGGTTGATTGGTTGGTTAAGTAAAGGACAAAAACAAAATCTATTCACAGCGCTATTCTATTCTATCTCACTCATCATCTTGTGGATACACAACACAAGATTGACGTTAACCATGATTTTAGGGTCATTTGCCGAGTACCAACCAACAAATCTCAATTTCGCCTTAACAGTTCGACTACTAAATATTGCTGACTGGCTGGCTGGCTGGCTGGCCGTGTTGGGATCCAGATTAACAAGCCTAATTTGTGCATCCAAAAGAAGAAGTTGGTTGGTTCAGACATTATCCTTACCCGCTTGACCATCTAGGTTTGAATGATCGATCCTGAATATTTGTGGAATTTTCCTAATTTTAGTTGATATTCTATTTGCTACTATATCTTTTATTATTATTATTATTGTAATTTAAGCATCTTTAATGAACTGTGGTGATTCCATTGTGATCTTACTTTACAAATCGATATTATTTAAAACACTAATACACTAATATTGTTATTGACTACTAATCTAGAATATTCTATGTATATAAACATGCATATATAGATATAATTGTAGAGCGAGAAGAGGAGGAGGAATTTATCGGCAAGAATAATATTCTGTTCTTGTGAAAAAATTTTTATTTCTTCATTCTGATTTTCTATAGTTTGGTTTGTAAGGGTTAGTTATGTTTTGTTATCAATCAGTTAGAGAACCATTGAAAACCAGCGACAGGGAGTACTGGACAGCCAGCCAGCTGTTTCATCAGCCTACTTTGGGAATCATCATCGGCAGTACGCACCCACTACAAAGGATTCGAACGCAGGACCTTCCGGTTACAAGGCCAGCAAGTTAGCTGGCTCGTATACCATTCAGCCAGTCACTGGGACCCGATTCCTCAATGGCCAGCCAGTGCATGAATTGTAACTTCTACCAAAAAAAAAAAAATCTGAGGCAGCAAATATCTGTTCTGTAGAAAATTTCTCCATCTGCAGTTGTACAGCAGGCACATTGAATTCAAGTTCCGGGTCATCTAGTTATTTCTGTTACCATGATGGTGATGATCAATATTTTCCAGCTTCACATAATTCAAGGCGCATTTGTCCTTGTTCTTGACTTAACTGACTCCTTAATGCAAGTGTAGCAATTCAGTTAGCTCTATGGTAGAATATAATTCCTTTATTCGACAAGTTTCTTTAACATAACACAGTGACGATGCAGTATTAGTATTTACTGGATGACAAAGTTGTTTCGAACACAATTCATCATTATTGCTGTTCATAATCATTCACATCACCAATTGTAATCACACGATTTCGAAACTTGCGTCTGATAGTCTTCTATGTTCTCTCCTATTTGTCGTCTTTGGGGTAGTAGAATTCTCCAGATATCCAGCTGGACAGGTGTTGAATCATTCCTATTGCAGTCACGTATTTGCAGTTGATTCGATAAACAAAGCTTCCGTTGTTATCAATCTTCCCCACTCGTCACCCTGTTAGTTGTATTAGATTTTCAAACTGTCATCTTATCCCATCCAGCCTATTGTATGTTTGGGTGTGTGTGTAATTGCATGTAGTGCTATAGCTGCTGAACTGTTCTTTAGATTTCTTATCATATTCAGGTCAACTAATCTAGATTTCGCTAGTAGGTGTTAATACTGCTCGGCTAGTCTGACTCACTGACTGCCGCTGTTCTACTACTTTGACCTATGTATTTGACCTGACAATCATCGCAGTCAGGGTGTTAGATAAACTAAATTGTTTTGTTTTAAATGCTCCACTGGCAGGATTGATCGTTTAACTGACAAAGCATGTTTCTAATTGAGTTTGTGGGGAGGGGTTGAATTCCAGGTACTTTTATTCCTGCCCGACTTGTTAAGAATTCTCCACTGTAATGTTCCCGAGTTTCCTTCCTATGTATAGAGGTACTACTGATGATTTAGATTCCTTATTGTTGGTGTTGTCATCATCTAATGTAACAGGAAGCTGTATTTATGGAATCAACTGCAAATAGGTGCCTGTAATGGGAATGATTCAACGCCTGTCAACCCCAATATCTGGAAAATTCTATTACCCCAATGACGACGACAAATAGGAGAGAACAAAGAAAACTATCAGACTCAAGTTTCGAAGTCAAGTGTGATTATAATAATTGGTGATGTGTATGATTATGAACAGCAATAATGATGATGAATTGTGTTCGAAACAACTTTGTCATCCAGTAAATACTAATACTGTTTCACTCACTCACTGACTGTGTGTGATATATCCATCTAATAAACAAACTTATATGGAATTTGTAAAAAATTATATTTGTAAAATCTCAGCGATATTGAAATGAGTAATTCCAACGTTTCGTTCGGCAATATCGCTCAGATTTTACAAATATAATTTTTTACAAATGTCTACTTCTCACTCGGCGCCCAAATATTTTAGAACTATTGTGTCAAATTTTGAAGACAGTTCATTTGAATTATATGGAACTGTTCTTGAAACGTCATTGCTAAAATAACAAAGACATCACATTTAAGAGAAATATTTGGTTCATTAAGAGTATCTAACGTAGATGAAACGAAAACTTCAAATGTAGCCTGACTGCAATCAGTATTCTTTGAATAGCATTTTTCATAATTTTACACTGGCGGTTATTGCGTACAAGTGAAAAAGCCAGACAGTAAAGTAATAGATGCATTCAGAGAAACACGGTTGTAGGTATTTACTAATTCTGGTAAGGTGTACCTTGGATTTGTGGATAGCTGTATCGTCCTAGTTTGGGACTCTTCAGCAGTACACACCCACCGCCTATGTTCGAACCCAGGACCTTCTGGTTACAAGGTGAGCTAGCTCGTAGACCATTGAGCAACCACTGAGACTTGATCCGATTGCTCATGAATTCACACTTCTGCCTTTTTTACGATATAGGGCAACCGCTGGTCAATATCTTCGGCGAGTATTTGTCCTCACACCCGACCTGCTGGCTAGTGGTTGTGCTATGTTGTGAATTGGCAGAAGTAAGAATTCATGCACCGGCCATTGGATCGGATCTCAGTGGCTGATGGATGGTCTACGAGCTAGCTCGCTGGTCTTGTAACCAGAAGGTGCTGGTTTCGAACCCTGGCGATGGGTGCGTACTGCTGAAGAGTCCCAAACTGGGACGCTGGTAAAGAGGAAAGGTTGTGCATGAGGCTAGCAACGCCATCCTGTAAAAATAAACACTGCTAAAGAAACTTCAAGCCACTAGCTTGAAGCCCTATTTTCCACTGAGGAATGTGAAGGAAAAAAAATGACGTAACTACAGTTCGCAGTCAGCATTAAGGAATTTAATGCTTTTTCGAACACTATTCAGTGTTGTATCCACGCTGTAAATCCCACCTGCTGTGTCTCGGATGCACAGTCTATCACCTCCCCCCCACCCAAAGTTATATAAGTTATATAATGTTCAGGCAAGTATGAGTTTCTTCGAGGATTAGGAAATGTTTTGTCGACTTGCACTAAAAAGCACAAATCCCAGATTGTAAATCGAAACAGCTAGCACTTTTGAAAAAGCATAACTTAATGTCAGTTGCAGCGAGGAAGAAAATTTTCTTTTCGACGAAATCACCGTCATCTAGACAGAGCTGTACATACGTGTATTTATAATAATAAGTGGTTAGGGAGGTTCCAAAATAATTTCTGGTTAAGGGTCAGATTAATACAATTACAGTTATTACAGGAATTTCAATGCTGTAATAAACAGGGCGGTGGGACGAATAATGCTCAGACAAAGTAGCATCATAATTACTGAGAAGATTGACACTGATTGTGCAATTACGGGTTAGAAATGTAGAAATAGCAAAAAAGATAGATAGACAGGATGTTTGGATAACGAAATCTAGTGGGATCATAACTAATGTGACGAATAATTGTTTATGCGGTTGGGGATTAAATATGTAAAAATAATAAAATGACAAAATAGCCAGGTAGTTCGGATATGAAAATATGGTAGTGTAAATAGTGTAGGGATTAAGAAAAAGACTTAAAATAACATGAATAAACAGGAAGTTTAGATAAGAAAGTCAGTGGGATAGTCACCATTAGAAGATGATGGCCATGGCAGGGAGGGACGGGGCTTGAACGTATTTCTTTAGGATACATTACGTGTGTTTGAGCTTTTGGGATAGCTAGTGCCTCGGTTATGCCCAGATGTCTTAATTTCACTCCCTTTGATAGGTTTGATCGAATCTTGTATATTATTATTTTGAAGGATTTTTCGAATGGCGCTGAATGTCCTGAATTGACCAGATGTTCTTTCACTGAACTATATACACGTTTTCGTTCTCCTTTTACTAGCCAGGCTGGATAGTGTTCACGAGTGCATTTTTCGAGTAAGTTGGTGCATGGTACGGCCGATGTACTCAGCAGCTCCGCAGTAGCAAGAGCAAAT